TAGCTTCTCCGCCTTCGGTTGCTTTCAAATATTACATTTCGTTGCAACGATCGTTAAAAAAGAGATTATAGCCAATACATTTAGTAAGAGAAAGCACGAGTGCTTCTTCCGCTTCGTTGTTTCAAAATATTACATTTCGTTGCAACGATCGTCAAAAAGAGGATATAGCAATACATTTAGTAAGAGAAAGCCACGAAGTAGGTTCTCTGTTTCGTGTTTATAATATGCCATTTCGTGTCAATGCATCGGCAAAAAAGAATATAGCAATACATTAGTAAGAAGCAAGCCACGACTAGCTTCTCCGCTTCGTTGTTTCAAAATATTACATTTTTCGTTGCACGATCGGTCAAAAAAGGAATATAGCCAATACATTTAGTAAGAAGAAAGCCACGAGTTAGGTTCTCCGCTTCGCTTGTGGTTTTTATTTCAAATATTAACATTTCGTTGCAACGATCGCTCAAAAAAAGGAATATAGCCAATACATTTAGTAGAGGAAAGCCACGAGTAGCTTCTCCGCTTCCGGTTTGTTTCAAATATTTACTTTCGTTGCAACGATCGTCAAAAAAGAATATAGCAATAACATTTAGAAAGAGAAAGCCACGAGTAGGTTCTCTGTTTCGTTGTTTTAAAATATTGGCATTCGTTGCAATGATTCGTCCCCCCAAAAAAGGAATATAGGCAATACATTTAGTAGAGAAAGCCACGAGTAGCTTCTCCGCTTCGTTGTTCAAAATATTACATTTTCGTATTGCAACGATCGTCAAAAAAGGAATATAGCAAATACATTTAGTAAGAAGTAAGCCACGAGTAGGTTTCTCATGTTCGTTGTTTTAAATATTGCATTTTCGTTGCATGATCGTCAAAAAAGGATATACAGACATTTAGTAAGAGAAAGCCACAGTAAGCTTCTCCGCGTTCGCTTGTTTTTAAATATTACATTTCGTTGCAACGATCGTCCCAAAAAAGGAATATAGCAATACATTTAGTAGAGAAAGCCACGAGATAGGCTTCTCCGCTGCGTTGTTTCAAAATATTAATTTCGTTGCAACGATCGTCAAAAAAGAATATAGCAACATTTAGTAAGAGAAAGCACCGAGGGGCTTCTCCGCTTCGTTGTTTTCCAAATATTGCATTTCGTTGCAACGATCGTCCCAAAAAAGGAATATAGCCAATACATTTAGCTAAGAGAAAGCGACGAGTTAGGTTCTCTGCTTCGTTGTTTTCAAATATTACATTTCGTCTGCAACGATTCGTCAAAAAAGGATATAGCGATACATTTAGTAAGAGAAAGCCACGAGTAGGTTCTCTGTTTCGTTGTTTTAAATATTGCATTTCTTGACAATGATTACGTCAAAAAAGGAATATAGCAATACAGCTTAGTAAGAGAAAGCCACGAGGTAGCTTCTCCGCTTCGTTGCTTTCAAATATTACATTTCGTTGCAAGGATCGTCAAAAAAGGAAATATAGCAATACATTTAGTAAAGAGAAAGCGACGCAGTAGTACTCTGTTCGTTGTTTTAATATTGCATTTCGTTGCAATGATCCGTCAAAAAGGAATATAGCAATACATTTAGTAAGAGAAAGCCACCGAGTAGCTCTCCGCTTGCGTTGTTTCAAATATTACATTTCGTTGCACGATCGTCAAAAAAGGGAATAAGCCAATACATTTAGTAAGAAGGAAAGCCACGAGTAGCGTTCTCTGTTTCGGTTGTGGTTTAAATATTTGCATTTCGATTGCAATGATCGTTCAAAAAAGGAATATAGCAATTACATTTAGTAAGAGGAAAGCACGAAGTAGCTTCTCCGCTTCGTTTGTTTCAAATATTAACATTTCGGTTTGCAACGATCGGTTAAAAAAAGGAAAATATAATGAATACATTTAGTAAGAGAAAGGCCACCAGTAAGTGCATCTTCTTCCTTCCTCTCCTTTGGTGTGGTGTGTGGTGGAAGAGGGAGCCGCGAGGGGGTGGGGGAGGGGGACGCCGGCGGCGCCTCCATTGATTTCCTTTAACGAGGCGCGGCCGGCGCGGCGTCTAGCGCGACGCGATGGGACGCGTCGTGTGACGACGCCCACGCCATCGCCGCCGCTGCGACGCCGCGCTGCGCCGCGCCGCGCCGCGCCAACGGGTTGGGGAGGGGGTGCGGGAGGGGGAAGTAAGTGATTCGCGCGGCGCCCAGCCATGCCAGGCAAGCGCTCAGGGAGCAAAGCGTCCCGTGGTGTGGTGGTGCGCACCATCGATTTCTACCTTTGACAATGAGTACTGGAGTACAAATATCACGAACACTTCGGAATTACTGGAAACGATATCGTGTTTCAGAATGGGTTCCTTACCATTCTCACGGTTTCCTTTGCCGTTCATTCAATAATAGCCGTTATCTCAATCATGCAGATTATGTTAGATTAATCGTATTATTATTATTACTATTATTATTATTATCATCATTATTATCATTATCATTATTTAGACATATTATTGCTCAACATAAAACATAATTTATTAAATCATCCAATAATATATAATCTTATCATATTTTATCAGAGTTCATACGTCACAGCTTGATACGGCAAGGCCTTAATTAAGGATCAGAACAGCAAGCACGTATGATTGAATGTGAAGTGAAGTGAAATAAATTAAAAGAAATTTTAAGTATAAATCCTATTCATCAAAGTCTAAAATTCTCACAAAATCATCACGAATTTGAAAGGATACAATTAACAGAAACTTCTCTCCTATTCATGCATTAGGTAGCCCATTTTCCAGATCGATAGCGCTGAAATGGTGGTGTATGTTGCCCTAATGCCGTGCGGTCGGAGACGACAGAGATAAACACCACGATAAGAATTTCTCACCCCGGTGTGCAGAGAAATCTGATGTTGATGGCGCGAGAGCGTAGAGTGAAAACGTAGTGCTTCGATGTGCCAGGTGATGTGGCTTTCCGAAAGGTAAAATGAAAGTAAAGTGCTGTCAATATGTGTGAAGAAAGGATAAGTTATGAGTACATGTTGATAAAAGGAAAAGGAAGGCGACTGCGAATTTCCTAGCTCTGTGATATTTAAGCATTCATTAATCTGAGTTTGAGTCCTGATTTTTATTTTGAGTGTATAATTTTTATGTGGTTTCAAAGAGTAATGCATTGTTTTTTATAACGGTCATAATATTGCGTCACTTAATGAATCACTCATGGACTTTTTTCAGAGACTATTACGGTCTTACGACGTCAATGCTTTAATCTTGTGTGTGATATGTACGATCATATATGGACAAGGCGACATTTTACCTTCACACAAAACTATACCTAATCTCTTATCTCTGTGTCATGGATTGAACTACGCACGGTAGATGTACGTCTAAAAGCGGGACACATTAAATTCAAAATAAATAATTTCATAGTATATCTATGAGTTATCGTTGGAAAATTCCTGAATATTGATTTCAAATTAATTCATATATTTCTCCGTGCATTTTAGGGCGATGTTCAAACTATCAACTCAATCATAAAAAACAATTTGAAGATAAAAACGCGTACTGGACATTCGTATCCTATTGAAATACACATGGTGTGAAAAACTAAACTTGAGCGCCATCAACAGGTTTGAAGCAATAAGTAAAACCTGTTAGTGACGGCACGTGTCGGAAACGTGTGCCGCAGACATCGCGCGAGCGATTAGAGGGTATCACTAATGAATGGAACTGCCGTGACAGCTACTTGGTTTTACGACATGAAAGGAGAGCTGGCGTCAGAGGGACTTTCCGGCCATTCGTTGCGGATCGGGTCTCCCTCCCACGGCGCCGCCTTTGAAGCTGCTCGCGCGTCTGACTGGCTCTCGGGGCGCGCGCTCCGCCGGGCCGCGGCTGTCGGGCGCAGGCGGTCTTCTCGCGTCAAGCGATTTCGCCGGCGACATAACGTCCACGGCCTCATCGCAAGGCTCCTTGCGACAGCCGCTGCGATTCTCCGTGCTCCGTGCCCCCTCCCTGGGAGGAAGCCACGAGTAGCTTCTCCGCTTCGTTGTTTCAAATATTACATTTCGTTGCAATGATCGTCAAAAAAGGAATATACCAATACATTTAGTAGGAGAAAGCCACGAGCAGTTTCTCCGTTTCGTTGTTTTAAATATTACATTTCGTTGCAACGATCGTCAAAAAAGGAATATAATGGTTCATTTTGGGTTGTGTAATTTTTATTTTTTATTATTTAAAACATTATATTGTGTACATAAACACATTACGGAAAAGAAAGTAAGAAGCCAATAAATAAAACAGTGAAAGGAAGGACAGTGAAATGAAAGGGAGAGAGATGAAAGAAAAATATAAAAGGAAAAAATATAATGAGAAAAGAATGAAAAAGAAAGAAAGGAAAAATATAGAAATGAGAGAAAAAAATATAGTTGGAGACTCAAAAAGAGGAGATTGGTAATAGGGAAATGATAAAAAGAGGATGTCAGGTAAATATTGATAATGAATTTGAGACAAAGATTCGTAGATAAAACCCAAACAAAATGTTAAATAGAGGAAGGAAGCGAGGAAAAATATACCATTTTAAAATATTTTAAAAATTATTCTCTGTCAATTTTTATACATTCCGAATTTTGTTTTTGTAAAATACAAATACAATTTGTTTGGGACAGACTAGTTTTTAAATAAACTAATTATTCAGGTTCATAATTTATTTTATTAACCTGACAAGTTATTAATTTCTTGGCTATTCGGGAGACGCCGCGTCGTTAGCTGGGAGGCCGACGTTTCGCCGATGTCGCAGGCTTCCTTAGGGCAGTGTCAGGCCAAGCGTTGGTCTCCCAGCCAACCACGCAGCGTCTCCGGGATAGCCAAGAAGCTTACGTGTGCTTGACAAGTTATTAATACAAATAAATTAAGAACATGAATTAATAGTTTATTCAAAAACTGGTCTGTCTAAAACAAATTGTATTTGTATTTTACAAAAACAAAAAAAAAAAAAAAAAAAAACAAATCCGGACGCAGGAGAGAAGATAGCATACTCACCGCCGGTAGCGCGAAGAAGGAAATGCCGAGCAGCGCACAAAAGGACGCGATCACCTTCCCCTGCCACGTGATGGGCACCGCGTCCCCGTAGCCCACGGTGCACAGGGTGATCTGCAACACACAGCGCTCGGCTCTCTCCACGGCCCCCAGCGCCCCTCGGCGCAAGGCAGGAGGCGGGAGAAAGCGTCGGAACAGCGACCATGAAAGAGGGCGCTTCACGACATGAGGCCAAGAAACTATCGTAACAGCAATGATTCAAGAGGGCAGTTATTTAATAACGTTACTAAGCAAAGAAGATTCATACACGGAGAGCAGTGGACACGGTGAACAAATCAAAGATACATTTAATTTTAATTTTGTTCAATTTGTTTACTAAACTGAGCCAAATGGTCCATTTTTCAATGATTTCCGGGAAAATTATAAAAAATCTATCATATTTTTTATTGTGATGATTGACATATTCAAATTCTCTTATTATTAAACATGGATTAAAATATCTAATTCTTGAATGTTACATTTAAAATTAATTGAACTCAAATACAGTAAAACATATTCCTTTATAAAATTTTTATATAATGAACAAAATTTGTAAACCAATCTATATTTCTGTTTTCCTAATAGTTTTCAGCGTAGGTATTATTTCCTCAATTGGTTTGAAATTGTTTGATATTTATAAATTGATGATTAAAATAACTGAATTGATTGAATAATTAATGATGATTTGAATTGATGGGAGTTGAAATTTGAAAGAATGAATGACAAGAAAACAAATAAAACTTAGTAATATTTCATTATAGTCGTAATATCTGAACATCTGTCAACAAAAAGCGAGTGGCAAAGACAAATATTTCGCGTTTTAAAGACATTTCAAAAACGGAAACAGATTGTGGTATGAGAGACTCACCACGCCCCACCACAGCGCGTCCGCAAAGTTGGAGAAGTGAGTTGGGTTCGCCTCCTTCTCCGCCAGGTACACCAGGAACGACGCGAAGATCAGGCCCAGGAAGCCGATGTATAGCGTCGTTATCAGCTCCTGCAACGCAAAGTCCCTTCAGTGCATTCCTCTCCGCTAGGCATATCTGCGCGCTTTGGACGCCCACTAAGCAAAAAAATATTTTTTTCAGAAGTTCGTGAATACCTGAAAATCTTTCAGCATGTAATAGACACGGTGTTATTGCATTGAATTGTCGTGAATTAGTGAGAGCAACTGACTGGTAATGAAATATATGTGTTAGTCGGGTAAAAAATAAATGGGTGATATTTTACACTTCATAATAACATTCGTAATTTATTTTAAACATAATTTAAAGAATCGAAAGTAGTAATACATACAATTTTCCAACAAACGTACAAAACCTTCACGTGTTTTTTTTAAAAAGTATTTTTCTTATTGAAAGAAAAAATGTCAGTAAAATTATTTAGAACATCTAACGATAAATATGATGAAGTCAAACAGTGCTTTCGGTAATGTTGATATCTATGTGAATGGTATTGCATTCAAATATCGCGAGATGAAACGGGTGGAGGAGTACAACGCATGCGAACCACGGTACAGACTGTGATGATTGATTGTACAAACTGTAGTACTGTACAACAATAGGAATTCACCTACAGAAAGACGATAGGAGGCTCTAGGGCGTGTGTACCTGTCTGTGCGCGTAGACGACGGAGCCGAGCAGCTTCCAGGTGCCGCCGCGTCGGTCCATGCGCACCATGCGCAGGATCTGGAAGAAGCGCAGACCGCGCAGTGCGGACGCGGCGAACACCTGCCCGGCTGATCCCATGCCCAGCACCACCACCGACGCCAGGATGGTGATCACGTCTGCAACACCACCACGAAGCATGAGGAGAAACTAGTAGTGCTAACAACAACGCGTACTTTCTTCTCACGCACAATTACGCGAAAAGTAATCAAATAAAAAAGGTTTTATGATTTCAAAACCTTTCTTTAAGAAAAATATTTCATTAAGGGAGCAAATCTCTATTTTTAACATTGTAGTTGTTGGAAGATTAAACAAAATTGAACCTATGCAATTTTAGAAAAATGAGGGTTTTTTTATCGAACATGAGACTCACACCATTCTCTTAAACGTTCTTTACACTATCCAACAAGAACATTTAATAAAAAAGATGGAGCCATTTAAAAATGGAAAACGAACCAGAGGTTTGATATAAATAACTCTCAAAATTGAAATATAGATTTATTTATTTATTTACGTCAAAAACAGTTAAAAACTGTGTGTGACGTGCTATGGGTAGGAGTTAATTTGAAGTTACATTCATGTCCAGAAGCAAAAAAAAGGGGCCATCTCAGCATTTGCTAGAGGATCAGGGAAACTGGACGAAAGCCGATCGAGATGGTGGTCATTGACCCAGACGCTGAAGTACAATACTTGTTATAAGTTCTTTACGATTATACAATCCAAATGATATATTATACATTAAATGTCATTGTTAAAATTAATATTATTTTCCTTTTGAATGCTCGATATAGTCTCTAATTGTATAGAATCAGTTGTGCAGCAACAGTTGTGTTTCCTTGGAAATTAAACTGTCGTATCGAATTCGATCGTTTAATGTCATCTGGCAAATTCAAAATTTAAGGAGCCGCGACCTAAGCCAGATCGATAGGAGCACATCATTTTTGGAGCACTCACCGATGATGCAGAAAGGCCTCCGGATGAACTTGAGGCGGCCGATGCCCCCCTGGTACCTAGAACGGCAGCCGGAGGACCAGAGCCTGCAACAGGAGCGCCGCTCAGCAGCGTCCTCGCCCCTCCACGCCCCCTTTGCAAAAGCACACACTGCCTCGGAGTAAATGTCACTAATTTCTAGGGCTTGCTGACGGGTCGAAAATTACAACCTTTTGCCATTGAAGATGTACTGGAAAATTTCATATCTCGGAGTTACATGTGACATTCCCAGATATAGGGACTACTCGTCGAAACGGGTACAAGTTTGTGACCATATATACTGAAAATTCAACTTCAATAAAACTAATTATTAGTCTAGAGATTATAAGTTGATAACGAATCGAGAGCGACATTTTGCTGCCATACAGTGCCAAGGTTCTTTCACAATATGCATAATGCGCAAGTATGTTGCAAAAACACACATTTTTGTTACTTGTATAGTAAATATATTCTGAAATCAAATAGCAAATTTCTATCAGAAAGTGATATTTATGCAGAGCCAGTCCAAAGCTATTCATGCTCCCTAAGAATGACACTACGTAAGCTATTCAGAAATAATGTAATTCGTTTTAATACACCTGTTTTTTATCACAAAATTCGTCTCGAAGTATTATAATACATGAAAAAATTATCCAACTTGATCCATTCCTATACGTGAACACTAATTAATATCTAAGAATATTGAACCTCGTGTGACTGAGTTATCTGTGTTTACCTTTATTATGCTGAACGATTGTACAGTGTATATACTGTATATAAAATGACTTTTCAATCGAAAAACCTTAAATTTTCCACGCACGTATGCTTTGTTCTTTTTACTATACCTATATTAAAGGTCTGTCGAAAAATAATGCTTATTATAAAATTATTATAATCAAAGGATTTTTACTCTTTCCATATACTGTAATATGCCTGTAAAATAAGCATTGAAAAATCCCCTGCATGCGCTACGGGTTTTCACAAAACAGGGAGAACCTCCTATGAACGCGTAGCGCTAGTTTAGAGTCCTGGCGGTAGGAGCGCCACTTGCCTCAGGAAGAACTCGATGGTGAACCAGATGACGACGACCATCTCCATGTAGAAGAGGATGAAGCTCGCCATCTTCTCGTACTCGTCGATCGTCGAGAAAACACTGAGCGCCAGGCACGTGAAGACCATCAGGAACCTGCGGACCGAACACGAACGCGTTACACGTGGAACAACCTCAAGGAGCACGGAGGTAAACAACATGTTTCAAACCAAACGCAAACTCCGAGTACTCCGCCGCCGCCCGGAGGAGAACTCTAACAGCAGTATGATCCGATCGAAAGTTTTTCGTGGATTCGCAGAACAATATAGGTAAATGCCGAAACAGTACACAAACACATTGCTAATGACCGCACGCAACTTTTCTTCCTCTCTCTTGTTCTACCCTTTATCCTTACAAAAAAATCACAGTCACAAGCACAACACCACTACACGTGTCGGGTGACCAGCCGGGACCTTGCACCCTGTCCCGGCTGCAGAGGGGGGAGGGTGACGCCCAGGTTGTACCTGGAGTGGAAATTCCCCTCCCCCCCCCCACATGTCGAAGTGGAGGTCGGTGCGTAATCTCGGAGGAGGAGGAACACTGCCATCCCCAAGGACAAAGCATTCGCTACGCTAATGATCACAGCAGTTGAGTTCAATTCAGAAGTAATCAATGAATCAACCGAGTAGTCTACAATATGTGAGTCTAAAAGTTTGAACATGTAGTAAGTTTGTTTAGGACTGTCCCGTAGATATTTCTAAACTTTCGGTACCCAACAACTGAATTGCACGGTTCGTTTTTAAAGAAATCTCTGGTCTGAAAGAAACTTAATCTTACTCCTGATTTTTCTTCGTACAATCAGGTGAAAAAGATATAACCGTAATTAAAACCAATATATAATATGTATTTTTATGTGAATGTGCGTCTTTATTTACTGGCAACGTTTATTTAAAGTTTACTACACGTACTCTACACGTACTTGACACGTTCATGCAGAATTAATTTCCAACCTTAATGCATTGGGCATATGTGTGCGAATTACAGTCACAATTTGGCTAACCATAATTTTATCTAAAAACTGAGGGGGGCATACTATGATCGATGTTGAAATTAAACATTTTGGTTAACGAACAAACTATGCTGTAATAAACATGAAATAATGAGAACATGTACCACCTAAATCACAACGTAAATGAAGAGAACAACACATATTTTTAAGGAATGCGACTTTTTTGATGATTAATTCTGAGACACAACAAAACACTTAAAACTTTAAAATATTAAAGAGAGAAATAACCCTTAAACTCTCAAATAAGTGCCATTGCCAGGATCTGAATTTTTGGTTGGAATATATTTTAGAGAATGCCTCATTATACCGCATTTGTAAAATGAATGCAGACACACAATCGTGAGGACTTTCTGTATTGACATAGAATGTGTCGACAATTTTAATTTTATCAATACATTTTCTCAGACGTTTAGTTCGCTGTTTTTAATTAACTATATTCATAGTTTTTCTATAGTTTCACGAAAGACATAAAACTTTTTTTTCTTTTCCAGAGTTTGAAACTACTCATGCAAAGCATGTGGCGCTAACGTCTCTGCGGAAGAAAAAGAGAGTCAAGGAAGGCATCGATGAAAAGTTAGGAGCCGGCGCTCACTCATCTCGAGCCCAGAGCACACAGCTGGGCACCATCACGGCTGGCAGCCAGCGAGGAAATAAAGTAGGGAGGAGAACCTCACCCCGATATTTCGCGGATTAATGGGAGGTTTCCAAGAGAAAGACACGTCAAGTTCGAAACACTTTGAATGAAGCCTTCGGCGGAAGCGAATAAATCGACGTTCGCTATTCCCGGAAGTCGTGCGGGAGTGTGGGATTGTGGAGGAAGGCGGGGAGGGGTGGGGGTGGTATTTGAGTCACGTGATGTGCGGGGTGCAGGTGCGCGGCGGCGGGCGTTTCAGGGAAGAGTCAAACGCGCGTGAAAAATTCGAGTGCCGTGCCGCGTCACCGGCGAGGGGCGTGGGCGGGAGAAGCGACGTGGGTAAGCGACGAGCGCGAGGAGCGTCGAAGCTTCTACGCGGTTCTTCGAAGCCTCCCAGCGGCCACATGGCGGTTCGGAAAAGAAAAAGCCACCGGGAGAGATGGCTCAGGGCATCAACTGATGACACTGCAGTGCCTCTGATCGGGAGGGTCTAGTGTTCCATTTCCCATGGTGGCAGGAGTTTCAACACTAGCTTGTCAGGGAGGTCGAATTCAGTTGTCTGGAGGAAAATTCTAGATGGTAGATTCTAGATTCATATCCATATATGGATTACTTTATATGGTTCCATTTCGTAGAGTCTAATTTAAAGAACCAACAACGTCGATAACAACTTTGGGATCGATCTCTAAAGACATCACAGACTAGCAGTTGATCTAGAGCACCTCGAAACATTGAAAATGATAGCTGTCGCACAGTTTAAGCTGACTCGTGCAATTTGCTGACCTTTAACTACGGGAACTCCGCGATACGTGTTACAGACTAAACGTGAGTCTTTGGATATGATAATGAATATGATAATTGGATGGATATATAACAAGGAGATAAGAGGAATTATAAAATCAAAACGTTGGAATGCAGCCTGTATGAGTGAATTAATAGCACAATTGGTAACCTGCAAAACTATAAGAGTTCGAATTGAAAATAGAACGAAAAGGAAAGTGTAGCAAAGAAGCAGTTCCTTTCCTTGTATTGCAGACTACATCGACATAAATAATTGTTCATTCATATTTAATGTGTGGAAATCACGATTCTATGATGTATGTTTTACGACTTCTAAAACAAATCGACAACTATTATGACTACAAGTATATTCACCTACCAAGACAATCAAATTTCATTATGGAATGTGAGAATCATAATATTTAAGTGTTGTTTAAAAAACGAATGAAATGATGTAAAGAAACAAAGTGGAGTGCGGTATAAGAATTTGTATCTGAATTATTTTTCACCTCTGTACTCTACATTGCAGAGTAGAAACTTAAAGAAAACGTTAGGCTTTACTTCATACTTTACTTTTGGTTGTATTTGTTTGGAACATTTATTTATTATTAAAATTCTTGAGATTTCGACTAAATGACATAGTCCTAAAATAACACAGGAGCAATTGAATAGACAGTCAATTGGACTGATTTAAATAAAACGAAGATATACTCGTAATACTACTGACACTGATTTACAGCTGTTACATCTTTACAACAATTCTCGAAATATACCTCTCAGGTCATGCCTCAAGTATTTTCTCATTTGTGATTTTTACATTTCACGAAACTGTACATAAAATGCAAGTGCTGAAGGTAATAAAATTCGCATGTTTTTGTTCCAGTTGTTTTTTTCGTACGTTTAATATTCTCGAGATTCCAGAGCGAAGCTAAAACCAGTGTTGTGAAGTGCTGTTACTGGATATTTAATACCGCATCATATTATCTCTGTTCACATTTAGATGGTTGTTAAATGAGATGTCTAAACTAGAAATATCGCAACACAAAGCTTGCATGTTCATTCCTGACACACAATTCCCTTCTATTATTTCCACATCGGAATGGAAGTTCATTCGATGTTGAATCTTTCATGAATATAAAAAAAAACACACTCCATAGTTACAAGAGTCATGGCACGAGATTGACTTCCTATCGTGATATACCGGTATAAGCGAGGAAAGAGCATATTGATTCCCTAGAAAGGAAGGGTAGCATGGAGTGAGCGAAATTTCCGAACGTTTGACTGATAATCTCCCGGAGCAATAGATTACTTCCCGAAGTGTCAAGTGCTGGTGCAAAAGTGAACGCGCCGTGCCAGCTCGCGACTGGCACAAGGCGGCGTTCGGCAGCTGTCAGTCGGGGCGAGCGGAGGGCCCTTCCCGGGGCTGTGAAGGGCACCGGGAGATACAAATGCGTCGTTGCCTCACGTCTGGGAGAGAACGTGCGGCGAAGGTGTAGGCGTGAATGGGAAAATACAGAGTGGCGCGAAAGTAATTTCACGCAAAGGAAATGACGTAACTGTTACGTTTCCTCCGTTTGTTTCTGGCTGTTGCAATCTGATTAAAAAAGTAGATCTTTCGCGATTAAAAATATCACCTTATTTTTTCATTCTGCGTCCGAATAGAAGAGGATTAGGTTTTGCAAACCAAGAAGATACGTTACTGACAGGCGTGTGGATTAACTGATATTCTTTTAAATTGATTACTCATGAACATTTTTGCGACCATTTTTTCATGATATTACGCTATTGCTCAATTCTCAATCGCATTACATCAACTGTACTGTTACCTTGAGTAAGCCAAAATGGTCTGACATTACGCAACACAGGGAACATCATTGCCTAATGATTCAATGTACCCAGTACAAACCTTCAGAGAGTCCTCGCATTTTCACTTAAAATCCTGGCACCAATGACAATTGATTTAAATTTTGAAATTGTTCATATTATAACTTTTTTTCACGCACTCATGAAGGTTGTTAACATAACTGAACATCGATTCATTTTATGTCTATATTTTTACTAATAGTCGACATTTTTAACAGGGAAGATTGTTCACTATACATCTGGTAGGCTAAATACTTTGTTTTTACTGAGAAAAACGTCTTTACTGATTATAAAACTGTTTACAAAACAATAATTAATAAAATCGGTGGATATCGAAAAACTATTGTGGAAATCCATCTGGATAGATAAATAAGGTAATCTCTCTCAATAAAAAATTGTATTTGACAACATTACATAAAGAAGTTGCAGTTCAAGCAAACACGTTTCGAGGATACATCGTCAGTGTCACCTATAAAAAGATATATAAAGGAAACATAGTTTAAATAACTTTGTTCTTTCTGTAAATTTACGGAATATGATTGTTAAGACTGTAGCAATTTAATGCAATGTAAAGTAATTTTTTTATTGTGGATGATTACTTTTATTTATGTATCTAACACAATTTTTGGGACGTGCCACATTTCATGTGAACAAATTAAACGTACAAAGAAATACGAGTATTTTGGAAGTAGCATTTCACAGTTTTTGAGATTTTAAATGTATTTTATTGTAACTTTATATCGTTTTTTGCAGGATTTTTTATCACAGAATGTCCTTTATAGGACGCGGTAAGGGCAGTATGTGAACACA